GAAGTGCCGGTGACCTCAAAGGCTCTTGATGTCCTGTCACAGGAAATGCATCGGGATTTCAAGGGACCCAAGTGGAAGAATCTTGGGAAGGTCTTGACTTTACTCCCAGCACTGCGCTCTGTTTCAGGAGGGTTTAGTTCCCCATCAAGGAGCTACATGGAGAAGCCGCTATGCCTAGTGGAAACACCTGGAGTTTTTCCACGTGTTTCTATATCATCCCACAGGCCATGCAGCCACACGGCAAGGGAAGTCAGCTCCGTACGGTCTGCATTTGCAAATGCTTCCCCCAGGGGTGACTGCTGCCTTATTTCAGATGATCTATGCAAATTCTTCAGCTCCCAACACAAGGAGAAGCATCTCCAAGACAAACACAATATTGGGAACTTAAGTGCTAGCTCTCGCATCGCGTGATAGGCAGGATGATGAGATATCTCAATGCAGAAATATTTATCACAATACACATGTGATGGCGCTTTTAAGCAGCTTACCAGTGTTTGGAGTCTTATGAGCAGCTCCATTAGGAGAAGACATTAAAATCAGTCAGTTATTTTCTCTGGGGCATTCCAGTCTCACTCCCTGAACATCCTGGAGCAGTCATGTCACCCTCTTGCACCCAACCATGCCCCTCCAGCCAGCCTTCTGCCCAGGGACACCACGTCTCCTCTTGCTGCCTTCTCCATAAGCCTGCACTGCAATTGCTTGCATGTTCCCCATTGACTCCTGCCTTTTTCCAGCTGTTTTCCTTCTTTGTGGCTCTCTGCTCTTTACCACATACGGCTCCACTCCAATCGCTCTCCAGCCACCAGGGCTCAGTTTATATTCCAGCCTTAACATGCTCCTCCGATTTGTGTATCAGCTTCTATTGTTTCAGCTATCACTAAACAAAGGACGGCGTACTCACTTCCTCCCTTGGCCTCAGTGAAATGCTGCCAGCAAACCCATCAGCCCATGGATCAAAGAAATATTTTCTAGCAGTTGCACCCAGGAGTATTCTGGCCAGTCTAACGGCTTAGAGCCTGAGGACGTCATTCTGTCTCCTTCCATAACTCTCCTGAACAAACGCACACCCACAAACCACTTCTGGATGCGAAGTTTTCTACCTCCTACACCAGCTGTCCAATGCCACCAGTGATTTTAAAATCCTCCCTGGCGGTTTTCAATCAACACAGTATTCAGTGCTGCAAACTAGAGGATATGCCTTGAGTAAGTATAGATCTGCATGGGGAAAAAGAACACGATTTGCTTGCATATAAATACCCATTGCAATTTGGGTATTCAGAGTCAGAGGCAAGCAAAGCAGATACAAACAGAAACAGTGTTGATGGACCTACCACCACTCATTCCTCTGCTGAGCAGATCATGCAAGTGAATCAGCAGGATTACTTTAAATTATGGACTAAACGGACACTGTTGTCTGTATCAGATTAGTGACCATTCAGATGACGTTTTTGGCAGCAAAGCTGCTCCAAATACAATTGTGAATAGTAACAAAACTGAGGTGCTAGAGCCAGCTTTCAGTAGTGCAAAGTCTCCCTGTTTCCAGCCAAGCTCCACAGGAGTTGTTCACACCCAGCACAAAGGAGAAGCCTAACCCAGATGTTTCAAGGGAGGGGAACCTAAACCGTATGGAACCCAAAACCGCACAGATGTAGGAGACATACAGTCTGAAGATGCAAGTGCAGACAAGTTGTCCGAAGGGATTCTGTGGCAGATGTGAATGGCACTGGGGGATTCTTATTTTGTTTCATCCCTAAACATTCAGTTGACAGATTTCTGCATAGCCAGAAGGAGCTCTTTTGGATCCTCATCTTCTAAGCAAATCTTCAATTGCTCAGAAGGCTGGGATTATTTGGTTATATAAAATAGCTTTAATGACTGTAGGGCCAGAGATACTTTTAACCAAAACAGTAACGAACCACCATCTGATAGCAGAGATGCAAGACTAAACAATTTAGAGAAAACCAATCCAACTCACAAGGCAATATCTCATTCTCTTAAATTATAAAAGTGGCCAGTGTTTTTCATTTACTGTGCAAACAGAAAATAATAGTGCATTTCCCACGGGAGGCACTCTTGTGCAGCTGTTTACTAGAAGTAATCAGCCAGCTCAAAAGGACTTATGGAAGTCAGCCTCCTTCTCCCCCCACCTCGCTGTAAAAGTGGATAGTAAAAACTACTTGGACTGGCTTTAGCTCCTATTTTGCTGGGGATTTAAAAAGAGCTCAATAGCCTGATCTGTAAACCTTCCCAACCAAGGGCAGGCCAAGCACGGAGTGCTTCTTGTCAGCATCTCACAAGCCATATAAATGCAAATATTCTTCTCTTCTAACTTACAGCAGCTTGAACATAACATTGATGGTTTTAATGCTTGAACATTCTGTTTATGCTGTTTTTTTCCCCATATTGTCTTTAATGCCCCATAGCAATATTCCAGTGGCTGAAGCCTCTCAAGCAGACCAAAAATGTATAATAGGCAGCAATCTAAAATATTCGATCCAAATGTCGTGGTTTCCTCCATTTGCAACATCTTCCCTTTCTGCGCCCAATGCTTCATGACACCTGGACAGGCAGATTATATTAAAGCTCATGCCTAACTTTTCAAATGATTTCTCATCAAGTCTCAGTGGGAGATAATTGAAGATTTAACTAATCATTCCTTAAGGCCTCTTACGGAGTATTTTATCACTTTTCGTGAATACATTATGAACTTAAGTGAAATGCTCATCCAACAGGACCACTGAACACACGAGCTGGAGTGGCTGGATGACCCAACACGTTCCTAGATGAGGACTTGGGACATCCTCAGTACATGGGAAAAGACAAACCCCTATCTATTTCTTCCATCTGTAAAAACCAGTCCAGCAAAACCACAACAGTAAATGTTTTCCAAAATACCATCCCACCTTTCTGAACAAAAAAAGTAAGTCTGACATGAGCTGTTCTATGTGACATGAAATATTCCTGACTAATTCTCTGATCTTCACTGTCACCTGAAACCTGGAGGACACCACATTGCCCTGCCAAAATGCAGTCACCATAACTCACGTTGATCCCTGCTATAACCTGCTGCCACAACAACCAAACTCTTTCATCAGCCAATCTGCAGCTCCTTTCTTTCCTGACCTCTGATCCATACAGTGCCTCTCTGGGTATCGTACAGAGCTATCAGATAACTACAGCTGACGTCCAGACTCCCCGCAGCCCCCGGGTAAAAGCCATAATGCTGGGTCATGTCAGACCCCAAGACAAAAAAAAAATTAACATGTTTTTTCTGCAGTGTCTAGTAGGGTTAAGGAATAATTTAACCAGAGACAGAAGCCAAAAGAAAGGTTCAAAAAAGGTTTTGAAGTAACAGAAAATACCCCCAGGAATGTCAGAACCAGACATTTTTTTCAGTAATATAATTCAGAGCCCTGAAAGCAGAATCAGATATAACCTTACTAGCATTTCCTTTGACAGAAATAAACATTTTCAGCTTCCTCCTGCAGATTCTTCTGCTGTGAGGTAAAAGAAAATCCATAAGACTGGTCACAATCAATATTGGGAATATTTGGGGAGTATTTTATACATCCCATTACTGTAAATATATTATAAACATTGCACTCTATTCTACTCTGCCTCCATTCACCGCTTTTATCTCATGAACAAGAACTGCTGCGGGCAGGCAACACATGCAAGTTCCTGTCTCAGCATTTAAGATATTGCAGGTGTTATGAGTTACTGGTTTTAAAGTTTCTGGAGTCACTTCCACTTTTAAGATAATTCAGATATTTCCCACTACTTTTGGCATGTTTCAATATGGGAAAGCAAAATCAGCTTCATTTCAGGTAACTAACAGGTTATAATATTGACATTGCAACACACACAGAAATTTCATTCCCAAATGCCCAACTCTGTATGAAACCATGGTAAAACAGTAAGTAAATCTTCTGATTAAGGTTTTAGTTTACATTTGCCTAGCGTTAATTATCATCAGAGAGCCAACATCTGTGCCACTGCCTATTTATAGGCACACAAACATACATATACACACACACACATTTTGAGTGTGTATACATATACACATAAATATATTATTTTACCTGGCTGCTTTCTAACTAGAAAACAAGTCATGGGTGAGGAGAGGAGGAGACAGCTGAAGGAGGAACGGGCCACTGCCTCGCAGCACAGCCCAAGGAAAGCATGCTACATGCAGAACAGCCCTCAGGAGGCAAAAGAGCATTATACTTTCCCTCCAAAAGTTCAGAAGCATGTTGCATGTCCCTACAGACTCTGCACCGTCTTAAGACAAATCTGAGACTGTCAAAAATCAAAAATATTTCTGGGTGCCACAAGTTGATTTCCTACATGCTGTAGTTTTGCAGAAGAATTGCTAAAAAGAGAAAATATTTTATCTTTCTTTACGTAATATTTTTGTCAGCAAATTCAGCACGTAGAAGGTTGGGGAGACAAAGAGACTGAGTTCCAATACTGGACTGTAGGGAGGCATGTCTACCACATGACACAAAAATGCTGGAATGTCAAGACCGTGAAGAAATGTTAAAAGCCTGTAGCTTTTAACAGCCCTCGCTCTACTAGCTAACATCTCTGATACGGTCCAGTCATGCAGCAACCTCAGAGCCAGTGTGTCAAAAGGAAGCAAATGGGGTTTAAGGACAAAATACCAGTCACTTAAACCATAAAAAAAAATAAATCAGCAATCATCACAGAAAGCAGATATGATGATGTGGGCTTCCCTGTTCGCAAAGTACAAGCCTGTGAAGCGACTCCTTGCAAGGGACTGTGACAGTGACAGCCTCGACTGCCTCCAGCTGAAGAGGAGACAACGCAGCAACTTCTCCTCACTTGGAAATTGCTGACCCAAAATACTCCCCCCTGTTCCTTTGCTCTGCTTTTCAGAGTTGGAGCAGAATGAAGGTACAGGCTCAGGGAAACAGGAGCACACACCTGCACATTTATAGCTTGGAGGTTTTTATGTTATGGAAGAAAAGCATCAGTACCTGCTGTCCTAGGAGCAGAAGATCCTCCATGAGCCTTGAAGTCAATGCAGGACTCGTCGCAGCAGATCACCGACCCGCAGCAGAACTTTGTATCTGGGGGAGAGAAAGTTTGGCAGAACAAGGTGCCATGTGGGGAGGGAAATGAGGAGCAAAGCGAGAAAACATTTCTGAACATCTGAGGAGGAAGGTCAGCCACAATTAGACAAGGCTATTTTGTAAAGCTCGAGATGAGAAGGGTTCAGTTTAGTTTGCAAACACTAGTCTTTCAAACAGAGTGGACAATTATATTCCCCACATTTTGTAGTCCCACCACAAATAACTTGAATAGGGCCTTAAGACTTCAACAACCTCATCCCTGTGTGCTGAAAGCTACTCACCCACCTTAAGCCAAAATGATATAACAAACATCATCATCTACACATCTTACTGCTGCCAGCTAAAGGTCTCTAAAATAGATCCCAACACCACCCAATCCACCAATGGACGTAATTCTTCCTGACCTTTCTCTCATTTACCAAAGTCTTCCATTAGTGAGTTAATGTTCAATGGTCAGCATGTTGTCCTTCAAAGGATAACAAATCATTTTGTAAATGCGGTGGGTCCTGGAGGTACTGTTATCTCTAATTTACACAAGGAGAACCCAGAGACAGCAAGAGAAAAATTTTCAAAAGCTTTTAAATGACTGTGAAACTGAAGTAATTTTCAAAAGAGAATTGGACACTCTAGATCTGAAGTCAACCTTGCACGTCCTTCAGTCACATCTCAAAATTAAACACGTTCTTAGTTCACTTTAATAAAGATCCTCAAAGCCACAGAGGTACCTAAAGAGTATCATAACGGGAAATTATTTCCAAGTCTAAGATTCAGAATTAGACACGACTTCTCCCCTCCTCCAAGAAAATAACTGATAAGGTGCCTAAGAGTCCACAGGAACACAGACTTTTCACCAACAGAAGGTATTTGGGTACCTCAAGTTTTCTTCCTCCATGCTGAGATCCCACCATTTTGGCTGAGCTGAACCTCTTAGCACTTATACGCGTGGAAGCCCACTTGAGATGGGGAAGTCGTGAGCATGGCTAACGCTCCTCACCGCGTCTCCAGCATCGGTTCCAGAGAGCAGCTGCTCTGATTTTCATTTAAAGACATGGCTGGAGGAAGAGGGAGTGGTTGGGGTGGCATGAAAACAGCACCCGCCGCCAGGGCAAGGTGGTTGCAACCTCTCCCTGCTGAGAGAAGTGCTGGGTTTGGACTCTGCCTCCAGGGCCGGTTTTGATTTCTATCCAGTGCTGTTTTAACGCAAAGCGTGTAGTAAGCAGCCCGTGGAATAGTGCCAGATACCTGCTCCCCACCTCCGTTCAGGGGAGGTCCCTAGCGGTAGGCCGCAGTCAGGCTCCCACTTGCTTCTCCTCTCTGGCTCTGCGAATCCTCTCAGCACCATGGCACAACTTCAATAGGAAGGGCTGAGAGGTTGCCTACAGCCTGGGAAGGGACAGGTGGATTTGAATATCCCTTAGGAGAAGGAGGACCCAAACCCGAGTTCGACCACTTCTGAGAGAAGAATTAAAACCATTACGTTATTATACGAAAACCACCACACCAGTTATTTGTATCTTAAGCAGCGAGCACAAGGCTGCGAGCCGAGGCCTCAGCAACAGGGCAGGTTTGACTCCCCCGGCCGGGTTTGGAGCTCGCAGTGTGGGAGCTGCTCGCGGGATGCAGCATGAGAGCTGGGGAATGGGGGGGAGAAGGGCACCCCAGAGCCCTAGCAGGCACCAGCGCAGAGAACTCAAAGGAGAAGTACTGGGAACAAGCATGGATGCACAAGGAACTCAGGGGGTACTGTCCAGAGGGTGGAAGCTGTTAGACAGGAACACGGAGACAAAATAGAGGTGCTGTCTCAAGTGCCAACAGCCTGACAAATGGTTATCGGTGACTAAGGCAGTCAGTCTTGGCTCTACAGCTCCTGCAGGAGCTCCAAGGATGCCAAATCTACATGAGGCAGGCGGATTTGGGCACGCTGAGGAGGTGAAGCTGGAGTTTTCGTTAAAGGAAAGGAGAGGGCACACCACAGCCTAAGAGGCATCGCACCAAGTTTTAGAGAGTGAATGGCAAGGCAGTGCTCTTAAAACAAGGGAACACCGCTGGGCAGTCAGATTGGACACCTCATTTTTGTATTCTGAATTGAATTCAGGCTTTTCTCTTATATAAACCTAGTGGGACAGATGTCCAAATGCTGTAAGTCAGTGTCACCCTCTTGAAATCACCAGAGTCCTAACCTATAATTTAGGATCAAAATATCAAACTAAAATCTCATCTATCATCCCCAAAATGCTTTTGACCCTGAATTTTCTAGTGTTTAAGATGAGGTTAAAAACAGTCTAAGCTCCCTGACTGTTAAGTAGATCAAAACTCTAGTCCAATAAGCTATTGAAAGTTTTTATAGTTTTACCCTAGTCTATCTTTCTGCACCCTCTTCAGCCTCCAACTAAACGAGTTTTGCTAAAGTTAACTAAAGGATTTCTTACAGGAAATTTTGGAGTAGCTGTTAACCATTGTGTTTCTATCACAAACTAGCACTGTAAAGTAACAGCTCATTCTAAGTTTAATTGCTATAAAATAGCATGTTTGTAATTAAAGAGCATGTATATGCATGTGTTTTTAAATACTCTGAGCATGTTTTTCTTCAATTTTGTTGTTTCTTCCAATTCTTTAAATATGTATTTGAAAAAAGTGGAAGGACAAGTAGCACTTTTTGAAGCTGCAAGTAAGCCATTTGAGAAAACGAACATTTTAAACTCACTGAAATGTACTAATGATAAAAATAGAAGTTATGTGGTACAAAAGTGACACTTTTTGATGAAATAGGGGGTATTTTGCTCTAAATAGGGATAAATGAGCAGGCTTGGTAAATGGAAATATTTGCAATTCATTTCAGACATTTGTCAAGATAATTTTGTAGTTAGGTGTGCATAAGAGCTGCAGAATTGGTTTCAGCTCTCTTTCCTCCAGGAAAAGAAAGTCTGACACAAGATTTTGACTTAGATTTCATACTGACCTCAGCAATATAGTCATTAGTTTCTCCAACATCATTAAAATTGAGCAGCAAGCACCCCTAAACCTCCTCCCACAAAATAAGAAAGTGACAGCTAAAATTCTACATTGTTCCACACCAGTGATTTTTAGACAGAATTTCCCACTCACCTTAACAAGGTGATAATTTAAAAATCTCTGCCAAGGAATACAACCTCCTCACTGGATTCCCACAAGGCTGAAGACACCTGCTGGTAGAGTTTAATATCCTGTAATCTACAGCATCAGAAAATGTTCGGGAAATTTGTATTAGGCAAAAGTACACAGTTGTACAGAGATTAAATTCCTTGGGGATCTTTTTTATTCTATGGGAAAAAAAAAAAAAAAAAGTGGATCCTACATTTTAATAACACTGAGCACAAGGACACAAACATATGGTCCTTCCAGCCAAGCTCTGGATGGCTAGAAGAGAAATACCATATGGGCTGTATCTTCACTGACTTGCTACAGGCATTTTTTTATTTTTTATTTTATTTTTTTAACATTTGGAATGGTTTGGAAGCCTTACAAAGTTTAGCCTTGGTTTTGCCATTTGGAGAGCAATGCTAGCCCATCCTGCTTGCACTACCCACGTTATTTAACTAAATATCCAAAAATTAATTATAAAACATGCCAATACACCATGTGCTCTTCCAGTAGGCCCTACTATCCAGCCCCAGAGATAGTACCACCACCACCACTTCTTTGTTTAATGCTTAACAAGGTATCCTTGGCCTATTTCCCTCCTCGTCTTTCAGATCTCACAGTCAATATTCTTCATCTGTGGCACTGCATTAGAGCTCACCATTAAGTCTTAACACTTTGGCATTAGCTGTTTTCTCAGATCCACTACCATCATTCTCCTAAAGCAAAGAGTGAAGCAAAGATCACATAATAAAATCTACACTCTTGAGTTGCACTGCTGCAACAGCCATAAGCCTGTACCTTCATGATAGCCTACATCCTCTCAGGGGATACGTTCTTGGTGCAACATCTATTCACATCAGCAATGAGACTGTCAATTCCATGGTGGTGAAATACAGCCAAAATCTGAAGAAATATCACCTCAAGACTTCTGTCTAGTTTAGTCATCAAAGATGCTTCACACATGCACAAGATCTGGTGCTGGTTGCAGACCTCTATAGCCCTAAGGACCAGAAACTCCAAATTAAGGCTAAAAACAACAACAAACAAACAAAAACACGGCACCTACTCAGTTTTAAAATATGCTGAAAGCCAGCACCCCCAGTCTGTAGTCAGAAAATAGAAAACAGGGTGGTTCATCAAGATGAGTCTGGCCTCTGAAACTAATGCGTCAAGCTCCAAATTTGATTTGATCTAAATAGATGACTTTTCTGGGACTGGGGATCCCTAAGATAAATCTGTGTGCTTAAAGAAGAAACTCTATGAAATGCCCAACCCGACAATGTCTTCTCCATGGATCAGGGCTATCTCAGCTCCTGTCTTCTGACATGTTCATAGCCTCACAGCTGGAGACTGATCAGAGCCTTCTCAACAGTTCCTCTGACTCCCAGAGGAGTCTCTGAGATGCGTTTATTTTAATAGTACAGACATAAACTGGTTAGGAGAATCACTGAAGGCATCTACCACTACTTTGTGATGCATTTTGAGAAGCTGGCAAGCAAGAAAATAACATGCAGCAAGCAGTCAAAATGAAGAAACTTTTTTTCCTTCATAGATCATGTTACAAATTTTGGCCAACTTAAAATAGACATCCTCAATTAAAATTATATCCCACTTCAAAATGATAGTGGTCTAGTTATGATCAAGTCATCTTTGTGCAGACTTGATTTTTACCGTGAAAAATAAAATAATGTAGTCTGTAAGGAAAATTAATATAGCAAAAGAAAGAACCCAATTGTATCTAGATGAGGAATTTTGTCAGCAGTTATTTTGCTGTATAACAGAACTTAACCGTGAATCATTTAATTCCTCTCTCCCAAGGATTACAGGTGGTATAAACAAGAGCAGCACAGTTATCTACTGAAACATGAGCAGAGTTT